GCTTGATTCGTGAGTTCAAATAAAAGTTCAGTTTTGAGTTTTTAAAGCATATTTCTGTGGGCTTTTGGACAACATCAACACTAGCAGAACATCATAAAGAGACAGTCTAGGTTTCGGCAAGCTTTATTATCCAGTTGGCTGACTCGTGGATGCATTTAGTGAGTAACCTGTTCATTATTTTACAAATGCACAAGTGAGTGAGCTATTGGAGGGTGAATGGAGAACGTACTGCAGAACTGGAGAACAGGAGAGCTCTGAGTCATGGTTGCTCCCATCAGCAAGGTCTCCTCCAGTCATTAAATCTCCACTGTGGCTGGAAACACCAAATCCAGCAGCTTTTGAGTTTGCACACAGGCTGCTAGGCTTTTATAGAAATGCCAGCTGTGCATAAGTGATAAGTTAAAGAGGTGCTTCACAGAAGTGATGACGGGTCAGAAATGCTGGTGGGGCTGGGGATGTGTGTAGAAAGCTGAGCGAATCCAGGATTTTCACTTGGAACATCACATGCATGCAGTGCGTGTGTTACAAAACATAATAAATAAAGTGCATCCCCTCTCTTTAAAGCTGTGTTAGGAACAGTGATTGGGAAGAAGCTCTAGAAGCTGGGACTAAATGTTCTGTTGCAGTGACTGTTCAGATCTTTGAAGTGGTGCTCTGTGGAAAAGCTTTGGGTCTTGGATGGCTTGTTCAAGGACTCCAGTTTGGGGAAGTAGAGATCAATCCTGTCCTGACTGACGAGCTAACAGTTTAGCGCCACGTCTCAAATATTTTACAGCAAATGCTGTTTAAAATAGATTATCTTTGAAGTCAATTCAGCATCACCAACATTTACATCCCGGTGGCAGACAGCCGCAGCAGACTGGGGGTTCCTTCAGCAACAATGATAGCTTCAGGATTTTGGTTTCCAAGCTTTGTTTATGTTTCCTTCTCTTTGGTTCACTTATCCTCATCGATGTACTAGATAGTCAAATTTGCACTTCACAATAAAGGTCCTTTTATTAGCATCACTTTTGCATTATTAAGCATAAATGCCCATTTAAATGTAATGCATTTTATTGTGATGAAAATATATTAAAGAACCATACAGTATATGGATGGTACGGTCCAATAGAGTGTCAGAAAAACTATAATCCAATTAATAACCAATTTAACTCTATCCAGATTAACATAGTTTCTTTCAACGACAAGTTCAAATCAAATGGAAACAACGAGGCTATTTTTAAACCACAAGGAACAGAAAGCACAGAGAAATTTGTGAAAATGTGAGGAGTAGAAGTTAAAAGTCAGCTACTAAGTGAAGTATACCAAAATTTCTACTGAAGTAAGGGAACAGAATATTTGTACTCAATTACTTGATGGTGGTTCTATCAGACTATCCAAGGAAATGAACCCCAGTCCTTCTGAAGCAGACCATAATGCTTTGGTGCCCCTAACCCTTCGCCCCAGATCTCAACACGACTCTTTGCCTAAAGCCTGCAGTTTGCTGTGTGCCTGTCAATAGAAGTCCTTGCAAAAGTGGGACTCCAAGTGAAAATTTACACATTCTCTCTCATTTTTGGTTTCTCTAAATAAATACTAACAGTTATGAGTCTCAGAACCAGGGTGAGACATTCTTCAGGAGCCAGCTGAGTTGGTTTAAGTGAGAGTGCCTCTTTTTGGATGCGTCTGCTCTGGGAATGCCCTGTAATTCCCCAGGAGGAGCTGGAGAGTATGTATCTCCCTCCATGTTCAAATCTCAATCAAGCAGAAAAAAGCACGAATAAAACAACAGAATACATTTTATTTTTCTGGATTTGAAGTGAAAACTCCCAAAAAGCATCACTTTCAGGAACAGTTGACAATAAATAAAACAGCTCTTACTACCCCATTGTGTTTCGACGTGTGCATCCATCACTCACCCCCCCCATGGTTCACCACGCACATGCACCCCCATATGAGTCATGAATCAACACTACTGAACATAAGATGTCCTCAAAATCATCCCCCTCCTCCCACATCCCTCCCTCAGCCGTGCACGTACCTGAGAGACGGATGAGTCAGCGTTGGAGCACGCCAGCCTAAGCCAAGCCATCAGCCTCCTCTTATTTCCAGTCCCTCATTTTCAGCTGCTGTCCATCTCCGCCCACGCCTCTGTGGCTCAAAAGGCTGTGATTCATGCACCAATCACTGTCTGATGCTTTAAAATAAGTCCTGCAATGCTGGACCCTGTTCCCCGCTGTCCTGCAAAATCAACAAAGAGGCAGCACGGCAGCATCCAGCTGTGATTTTCTCACACACAATGGGAGATCCAGATAGCTCAGTTTGATGCATAGTGTTGAGTCTTTTTCAGCCAGCACTCTTCATTGTCTTTTATGTTAAACTGTGAGGATATTTCTATAAAAAGCCTGGTAATTTGGTTGTATACATAAATTAAAGGAAACTGACTTCAGAAGGATGAATCTAACAGAAGCAGGGATAAAGAGAGAGTAGAACTGGAGACTTCAGCTCTCAGTAATCCTGGTTGATAAGCTAACGGCTAGCTCCTAGAGGGGAAAATAGCAAAAGTGGGTTACTGTCATCTTGACTGTTAACTTGTCAGTCTGATCAGAAAGGACATCCATGTCCTTAACCTGAGATCATTAGAAAGGTCATTTTTGTGTTCATTAACTTTCACAGTATGATTCAGTGTTATGGATGCCTATCAGGTACAGATTATCAGACTAATAAGGGTTAGGGGGCCAACGTTCAGGGCCGGTTCTGGGGAGTGGCACTGGCCACCCCTCCAGAAAATACTCTGGTCCCCAACTCTGCCCACATCCAACATTAACTCATTCACTGCCAGCCGTTTCCTGATCACTAACGGCCTTCGCTGCCAGCGTTTCTCACCGTTTTTACTGTTTTTTAAGAGTCACAGAACGTTGCGCGCTAGCATGATGTCGATGCCAAAACAACCAAAACAAAGAGGAGACTCACCTCTTACATCAGGAAGAAGCCGCGTGTTTCGAGCGTTATCCGTTCTTTCATAATCCATTGTCGAATTGTGATCGGCAGGCACTTTTCCGGTTCGCGCCTCACTTTTTTTACAGGAACGTCCCAAAACGATCTCCAAACACATGGATGTGTTGCTTCCTGATCATGTGATCTGAGACGTATGCGGATGAAGATCGGCTTCAGGGCTGAGATGTTTGTTCTCTCAGCGCGGGGGCTCGTTCCGATGCTCAAACAATAAAAAAAAATGCACGGTTGGATCTAAAATGACGACTTTAGTCGTCAATGGCAGTGAATGAGTTAACGTCTTAGAAGAGACCCTTGGAAATACGACATCACTCAAATTTGTGCAACTTTCAGCATGGAGAAGTACTTCACCATCAGTGAAGTGTGAATGAGCCTTATGATTTTAATTTTACATATTGGCCAAACTGAGGGAATAAATACTTAATATAGTCTTTCTTTGATTATGGAGGCAATTATAAGAGTGACACATACATTAAAGGTGTGGTTGACAGAAAAAACATTTGTTAATGATTATTTCTGATTATAATTGGTCACTCAGGGCTGCCATCAGAGGTGCAAAACTCATACCTAAAGCTGAAGGTAAAGTAGCTTTCAGGGTCAGGGACAAACATCTGCGAACCTAATGGTGCATTAGAAATAGTTGAGAGTGCAATCATAGGGATCATCAATATCATGTGTCACAGATTATTTATTAGTTTTTGACTCTAATGCATCTCTATTTCTGTCCCCTGCTGCAGCTTATTGATCTTTTATTTTATCAGAGAGGTTTTAAAGTGCTCTGTAAACTTGGATCAATGCTAACATGTTTGCTTCACACAATTCCCTTCATCCCTGCCTCTGCCTATGTTTAGGGAGATTTAACAGCCTGTGACGGCGTAGATGTGATGCCTTAAATTAACGGGGCTGAGTAAGTAATGATTATCCTTTAGGCACAGGAAATAAAAAAGTTCACTTAGGGCCATAATTACGTTGAAATAAGAAAATAACAGTATTTAATATTTCTGCATGAAGTCAGTTTGGTGTCATGTTCCATCGTCTTATTGCTGCGCATCCATTGATCTCAGCACAATGAGCCATAAAAGCCTTTCAGGACAGTCGCCAAGTTGTACATTCTCTAAGGAGGTTATCATGCTCAAGGCTGCTCATGGCAATGCGTTTTCTAAATGAAAAAGATGAAGCACAAATGCATTATGGGAGCATCTTGTATCAGCAGTTTCTGGGATTAAAGACATTGTAGAAGAAACAGAGCAGAGAATGTCCCAAAGAGCACATTTCCTTAGATGCAAATCAGTTTTTATTTTTGTTTTAAAGAGGAGGTTCACAGAAAACTATATTTTTACTCATTTGCTTTAGAAAAACTCTAAATGTCACATGAAAGTTGTCTTCTACCACAAGTGTTAGCCACTGAAAGACAATAGAGGGAGGAAACGCTGGGGTCAGAAAAGGCCACATAGATGTATCATGCTACAAATTAGCATTTATGGCCTCAGTGTTAGCTCGTGTCCAGCTGAGGTGATTTTTGCAGCCCATAGATAGCAGAGCTTGTCTCGGCTACTAGGAGCTAACCGTTAGCATTAACAACTCCTCAACAACAACTCATACAGGGTTGTGTCATTGTTGCAAAGCTGAAAAAGGGGCGCCAGAGAGATCAGCAGTCATTTATAGACTTTATTGCCGTGGCTCGCTTTTGCTCAATGTGTTGCTAAACTTGTAGGAACAAATGCTACAAGTTAAGCCTACTAGCCAACTTGCGGCTAATGTTTACAACGACGTTGACTAAAAACAAGGTTATATAGCTATGGAAATCGTGCTAATGTTAATTTATAACTTTATATTATAGAAATGACATACCCAGCCATGCAGGTGCAGCTCATGTGGTTGTTTTTGTTTACAATGACCCAGACTTTGTATATGTTGATCTTCTTCGCTTGTCTTTGACTCGTCACAACAAATGTCCTGGGAAAAAGCAAATGCATAACAACAGACAAACACCACTAAACACACGGTCGTTTTTATATAAATATTTATTGCAGAGGAGGTATCTTTTATGTACATGCTGTCACAATATAACACAATATAAATCTACCAAATATTCCCATATATTGATGCTATAAGCTTGTCATAGAGCAATAGTCATAACAAGCACAGGATACAGTGGGTTAGGGACAGTACCACTCACTATACAACTTGTAACAGTCCATAAAATATAAAGTTTTTCCTTTTTAGTTCTATCAAGGGCAGTGAAACATCGGTCCTAGTAATTTCTTGAATTCATGCAGAAGCCACAAGAGCAAGATTTACGACGTTACATCATTGAGGAGTAGTAGTAGTAGTAGTAATAGTAGTAGCAGTACTAGTAGTTGTATTTGCCATAGTGTGACTTTGTTTGACCACGAAAATAAGAAGTCTGGTTTAAATGAAAAACAGCTAGCCAACAGAAATGCACCATGGTAAAGATCAGTGGAAAACTACAAGACAACAGCGTTGTTTATGATGGCACAAGGACGACGGTCTGGACTTGTACACCCGAGCTAGGGTTCAAAACTTGCACCGATTCAGTGATGCTGAAGATAAATTACAGTGACGGACACCAGTTATGAATCACAGTTTAATACAGACATCTATGAAATGACTGAAGTCATATGACAATCAGAAAATAAATTACAGTGTGGATTCACCACAATGCAGAATAAGAGGAGAGCTTTAGCTCAATGGTGGGATATTGCACTCATGGCATTTTCTCATTTGCCTTACTTTATATCTGGACGTGTGCAAAAAAATAGCATAATTAATAAAAACTCATTTCATCATCTTTGAAATTGCCATTAAATATTGCTTGTTTTGGTTATTCTTCACGTATGGTTTGACCAAAATCTTAAAGAGCTTCAAATTAGCTAATAGTACGATCGTTTAAAAAACAGTTCCCATTCAGACAAACACATCTACACGTTTCTAGCTTTCTTCAAAAAGCACAACGAAGAGGCACCATGTTACTCATCACGCAGGGCAGTAAATCTGACATGGCAGTGACTCTAAAGTCGACTCACTGTAGGAAAACGTTTCTGTTGTCCTATCACAATGCTCACTTTTCTCTTCAAACTGATAATGTAGTTCTTAACATTCTCCTTTTAGATTATTACAATCGATCTGTGCACAATCACAATGACACATTTCTCATCAGAGGTTGAATAATCCAAATTTCAGACATGTTCCATGTTTGAATCTATAAAAGCGACATTAGCTATATTTGTTTGGAAGAAACCTGGTTTGGCAAGAGTTGTTGTTTTTGTAGAAACCCTTACAGAGCTGAGCCGTCTTGCTTTGAGGAACCTGAATGCAATCACAGCTACAATCGGTGACAACACTGAATAACTCTCAAAAGAGGAGTATTTTAGATGCTACACTGATACAAAATTGAACATGACTGCAAACATTGTTACAGTTGGGGATTCAACAACACTTTTAAACACGACTTTTTTTAACCTTGGGTTCTAGATTGAAGAATGCATGATGAATATTGAGATATTTTGATACAAAACATGGAACAAGAAACCTTCAACAGGTTTGGTCAGATTCTTGATCGATAAGCACCACGCTAAGTCTACTTTGGGTTTATTTATCTTGATTATTTAATAGCTTGATAGCAATGACCCCCCCCCCCCCCCCAAAAAAAAAACAAAGTCATAAATCAATTTTATTTTAAAATAAGGTTTAGTTAAAATTATGAACAATGACTATCATACCTGGTAGCTCCTTAAATATCCTCATTTCTGAAAGGTTGATAAGCTAACAGCTAGTCAGAGTGATGCTAACTTCCATTCTCTCTGACTTTCTGTGGCTTCAAGCAAATGCATTAATTCTAATCTTTTGGTAAACTTTGATCGAAATGGTTATTAATAGTAACACTTATCTCTTGTTTCACTTGGACTAGCCGTTAGCTTATCGATCTTTTCAGAATGCAAACACTTGTCTCCAAACAGAGATTGGTCACAAAGCTACATGTCTATAGCAGGTAAGATATAAGGACATCACTGAAGTCTGAATTATCACTTTTAGGCATTCGTACTAAAACCAAAAGCACGGGACTCAGTCTTACGGTACTTTTCGGATAACTGCATCACATCTTTCCTGTAAATTCCTATTTTTGCATCCACAGACACACATTTAGTGCAACACGAAGACCCATGCTGGATTCATAAACAAAGCTGGTGCAAAATCCCTCCTTCTGTATATTTCTTTCCTTAATGTTTACATGCATGAACATACAAGCAATTAGAGTCGAATTCAGACCGAACCGGCTTCTTTTTCCTTGTTCACGACCTTTAGCTTTAAGGGTTATTAAAAAAAAAGGTAACATAAATATCTAGTACTGAATATATGTTGTCTAGAAACACCAGCGCTGATCTTTGGACAACCAGTAGGGTCCAGCTACTCAATATCTGGCTGCGCATGCCGTTTATGTGGACCACTGTCACAAAATCCCAGTGAGGAAGCCACCTGCTTCCTTTCAAACAAATACAAGACAATTCTAGTTAGTTAGGCACAAATATAGTACATCTCTGCAGAACCGGAAGCATTTTAATCTGTAGAGAACTACAATTAAATAGATCTAAAAACACAAATGACCTTGGTCTGTGTGGGATGGTCCATGAGAGAATATGTTATGAGTTTGAAAATTAAACTAAATGTTCACGAAGGACAGAATCCATCCTTCCATTTAAGTTTATGAAATTAGCTAAAGTGCTCTAGACAGATTTTCCTCTTTTTGTGACCAAAACACAAACTACCGTAAATCCTCTAATACAGGCCGGTATTCAATTAAAGGCCTGGTCTCCAATTATGGCCGGTGTCGGAGTCGGCGGAGGTGAATAAAGGCCGGTCTCTTATTGTGGCCGGGTGAAATGTGGTAACAAGCTAGTACGGGGGGCGGTTGTGTCATCGTCTCACTTTTGATTTGCCAGTGATAGACCGCGAGGGTAACTTTAACCGTGCAGAGACAAGAGGAGGCTGTACCAGAGCGTCGGTACTGACACGCGATCGTTCATGTGGGTTCATTTCCTTTAAAGATTTCTGTTTTTTATTTGCGCCTGATGTGTTTCGCTGCATGCTGTGGAGCGGGGCACATCAGCTTGTCCTCCGGTGACGCACCGATCACGCGGCCACCAAGCAGCGAGCACTCCGCTGTTTTTGCGGTCGGTAGATCTTTTAGAACTGCAGTTCAAAGGTAACTCATGAGGTGAATATATATGAACCCAGGTAGCAGTTTCTCTTTAGGATTGAGAGGAGATGCAGGAAGATAATAAACAGGCAGGACAGAAAAATAGTCAAATAAAAACAAGTTAGTTTTTGTACCTGGTGGTTGCAACAAACAGACACCATTGAAGGTAATCAGAAGTGAGGAACAGAAAATGAAATAATTATTTTAATGTTTAGAGCAGCAGGAACTCTGAGAGGCTGCAGGCGCATCAGTGAGTTTGCGGCTGCTGCGCAGGGGGAGGGGGGAGAGGGCTGAAGCAGAAACTACCGTTGTTAAAAGAAATGTGTTAACTTTGAAAATGTGGGCGCAATTTTAATTGTCAAAAACTCCAGCGAACCATTAGTTCATTTTGCTCAAATAGAAATAGAGACCTGCCTCTAATTCTGGCCCTCCTTCCAATAAAGGCCTGGAGCTTGATGAGCTTCAGTCAAATACAGGCCCGGGCCTGTATTAGAGGATTTACGGTAATTCTTGAACCTACAGGCTGTAGACCGGAGTCCTTCTTTGCCATTGCTCTCTTTTTCTTTTGACGTTCACCTTTGCTGTTTTGTTCTTTAAATTTAATGTAAAAGTTGGAGTCATACGCGACGTTACTTCTCTATGTCTTTGCAGTCGTGTCATATCTCAGTCCAATAAAGTACCAGGCAAAAGAAGGCGAGAACAGATTGCTGACGTTGCTCATGAAATGAAAAGGTTGGATAAGAAGTTGCATAATTGGTCTGATTTACTTTCAGGGATTTCCTGTAATAATCTGGAATGTTCTTCTTGACTTTGTTTTGTTTTCTTGTACATATTTCAAAATATGTAAAACAGGAACAAAATCTTGGAAGGGAAGGCAACTTGTGGATCAACTTTGCTTCCAAGTTACCGTACAGGTAGTAAAAGGTAACATTTAACAATTTCCAAGTGGAAAAAATGGTATACACTGATAACTATCATTTCAGTGGTCTGGTTAGGTCGAGTGTCATGCCTTCTTGCTTGATGTGCCCTCTTCAAAGTCCCAGGGGCAAACATCTGCCTTCACAGCAGAAACTGAAGCTCCACCTTTAGAATTCGGATTGCTCTGCTTTACTAAAGGGGCACTTTTATCGGTGCCCTTTTTATTGGACGAATCCTCAAAATCCCACGGACAGATGTCTGCCTGCTTGGATTTCGCCGCTCCAACGTTTGCGCTTTTCCTCTTTTCTACCAACGGCACCTCCTGTGGACCCTCTAGATCCCACGGGCAGACCTCGGCCATTTTCTGCAGGCTCATATGTTTCTCAGAAGATTTAGTCTTCTCCTGAACTTTTGTTCTACTTTTCTCATCGAGGTCTTTCTCAGCTGTCCTCGTGAAAGGGGCGCCTTTCTTTTTGGAGGGTGACTCTTTAGTTTTGGGTGCTTGTGTTGGATTAGATGTCCTATCCAGATTTGGGGAAACTGCAGTGTTGTCATAGTCCCAGGGACATATGTCTGCTTTTGATGTTGGTGGTTGAAGTGATGCTCCCACCTTTGGAGCATCTGATACGGTGCTTTTCCCCCTCCCGTCCACTGGAGAGGGGCTCTTTCTCTGCTTTGCTGAATCTGGCGATCGGGCTGATTCTGTTGTCTTCTGTGGCTCGTCGAAGTCCCACGGGCAAACCTCTGGTCGGTTTGCTGTAATCTGCTTGGCCTTAGACTGACTAGATACTTGTAACTTGGATCCTTCCGTTTGGCTGACTTGTGTCTCTCCTTCCTCCCATGGACATATCTCAGCTCGAACAGCTGTTGTCCTCGGACTCTCCTTCGAGTGCCTGCCTCCCGATGGCGACTGATCAGAAGCTTTCTGTTTCTGAGATTTGCTTCCTTTAGTGCTGCCTCCATGAATCGTAGTGGTTTCACTTGGTGCTATCGAAACATGTTTCTGGATCTTGTTCTCGGACGGAGTTGGAAGATCTTCCAGCTCCCAGGGACACACTTCTGAGACGTCATAGAGGTCTTTTCCCTTGATTGGATCAGAAAAGATTGTGGGCTGGCTGCCACTCGTTGGCTGTTTCATAATCCTGCCTTTAGCTGTGCTTTGTTTGTACTCAACCGACTGGCTGATATTCATCTTGAGCTGTAATTCATTTTCTGCCTCTGAATTTGCCTTTGTGTCTTTGCTCTTTGGCTGATTCTTCCTGTTGCTGTCGTCTGTGCTTTGGGTCTTTCCAGTCAAGCCCAAAGTCTTCTCTTTGGCGCTTGCGATGACACTCAGGGACTTCTGTAGCATGGAGGCTCGAGGATGAAGTGGTTTCTTGTCAGCGGTAAGGTTGTGGGCACTGGCTGACTTGCAGACTAAAGGAACTGACTCTGTAGACTCACTGGGGACATTCACATTCTCACTAGACTGCTTCTTGACCAGCTTTTTGCCCATGAGTGTCTCCAACATGGACCCGTCAGGAGTGGTCACCTCCATCTTGTCTGCCGCAGCGCTGTTGGAGTCTTCGTTTTGGTCCCGGACATGGTCGTAGCTACTGTGGGACTTCTTCAGGGAGAAAACCTTGTTCTTTAAAGTCTCTTCCTTTACCGATTTGATTTGATGACTTGTATCTACGGGGTTCTTCCTCAACATGCAGATGCTGTTGCGATTGCTCCCATGGTCCCCTCCCTCTTTGTCTTCGCGGCTGCACTGTCGGTGCACAGACTCTGGAATCTCGGTGATGCGCCTCATCAGCGATCGGCCCAGCCCTTTCTTAGAGCTCCTCTTCTTTTGCAGATGGGGGTTATTTGCCAGCATCTTCTTCCTCTTGTAAATCTCCAGCTGGGAGTAAAGCTTCTTCAACTCCTCCTGAAAAAAGAACAAAAACACAAACGCAAAGTACTGAGTTGTGTTTAGCTGCCTGGAAAGAACATTTGGAAACTGTTACAAGACACTTGTACAAAAAAGCGGGCCGTCTACTTCACAGAGAACATGCAGTACAACTTCATGACAGATGACTACAAACAGCTGTTTAATGACGCACTACTGAAGACCACATGCTTGCTGAAATCAAAACAAAAACAGGACTGTTTTGAACAGTTTCAACTGAGGAAACCACGTGTGTGTTAGTGTTAGGTCTGAAACAGCCTCTGATCCCGGGTCCTGAATTAGTCCCATCTGTTTCTTCATCCGAGACAGAAGATGCTTGCAAGCACCAGGATGTAATCATAAAACAACTTCCTCTGGACAATAGGCGCAAGGCACCCAAATCTTTTGGTAGAGAGACTTCTTCAGCTCTAACAGACAAACAAATATCTCAGCTCACGTTGGTACGTTTTTCCCAATGGCTGTCGCGAGATCTTACGCCACAGCCATTAATAGAACTGTGATGGCCCGTTTCTTCTGGCGTCTGCAATAAAAAACTGCCATGGCTCAGTATTTGTATAGGATGCAAAAGTAACGCCAGGTTATTCAAACGAAAAGGGGAGGTTACACAGAAGCAGCACCTACCCTGATGTCCTCTGGGTCCAGGCTGTGCTCACTCCACGCTGAGGTTATGCTGCTGTTAAGGTACGACCCGGAGCGACCCATGTCCAGCTCATCTTCATAGGCCTCGGACGCTATGTCGTCTCTCATGTGGGTGCCAGCAAACAGGAACTGATTGGGGGATATGGAACGGGTCAAAACTGTTGGTTGTTTTTTTTAACAACAATGTGATATTAGCTGGTTCCGATTATAGAGCTCCGGACGTCACGTGACTCCCAGAGAGTAGACGCCATGTTGGCAGGCAACAAAGGTAAACAAAATGAACGGGGTCGGCTTGGGTTTTACCCCGTCGGAGTTTACTTCACACTTTAAAACTGAAGAAATCGTTTTATATAGTCAGAAATTAAATAGACTAAACATCTCCGGCCCTTACCGTGCCCCTGGGATACTTTTTAAAAACGCCAGAAGCTGTCGGAGCGGACTTCTTACCGGACCTGGCCGGGGAACGCCATGGGATTCCCCCGGAGGAGCTTACCCAAGTGGCTGGGGAGAGGAAAGTCTGGGCCTCTCGACGCTACTGCCCCCACAACCCGACTCCGGATAAGCGGATGAGAATGGATGGATGGACAAATAACATAGATTTACATGTAAGTAGTTTAAATAGAGTGCTGTGCTGTTTGAATGTATAAACTGAACTCCAAGAGAAATCACTAGTTAGATTTTTTTCCGTGAATAAAATAAATATGTCAGGCAGGAACATCTCAGGATCTGTCTGAGATCCGTCTCGGTGAGACAGATAATAGCAATCCAAAGTGCATTTTATGTGTGATCTGACAATTGATCAACCATTGCTTAAAAATGAAATACAGCTTAGCCGGTTAATTGCTGTGATCATAAAACACGTAAACGGCAGCACGCAGAACTCACGAGGTAACGTTTTACGTGATGTTTACTTGCTGCTATGAGTAATAAGACAGAAAAAGCCACGCCAAAATAAGTTTAGGAAGCCCAATAAGAATCGTAATAAAAGCATTTAAAATAAGTACCATACACAGTTGAGGAAACGTTGGTTTAAGTACCTGATATGAAGCGGTCGCTGCATAAGCGAAAACCTTTACTCTCGGGATCCCACAGTTTCATTTTAGCCCGGTCACTAACACGTTTTATTACAATGATCCAACGTTTGCGGCGCTCCGGATCTTGGGGAATCCTGTAGATGGCTCATTCCTTGTGTCGTCCGCGTCTGTTCTGCATCCTGGGGCACAACAGGAATCTACCATATATCCTGTTTAGTTTTCTGACAATAACAAATAGTCCAGCTGCGGGCTTCTGCCTGCCAAGATGGCGCCGTTTCGATTTGAAATGTCGCATGCCGGGAGAAGTGACGTCAACTCCCGGAGCTCTATTGCATGGAAATAAATATTAGGATGTTTGTGCATATATGTTGGAAGGAGATCCTGATTCATACAATGAACTTGATACAAACGTGGACAAATGTTTTGGCACCTTTCCACACTACTTGTAACTAAAATACCATCATGATGGGAACTAAACAGCCTTAAATAAAACACCAGTCGGTAAATCAACATCTTGATTTGCTAAATATAGTCGTTAATAACTCACGAGTTTCATGCCTACCTTGGGAATGAGCAGCAGTCCCAAAGCAACGGTGACAGTCAAGTGGGTGTGGGTGAAGAACAGCAGCAGCATCCAGTCTGGATGGAGCTCAGAGGCGAGAGTGAACCTGTGAGAATGTGAAGGTAAGACAAGAAGGAAGAGCAAATAATAAAACAAAAGATTCCAGGAAAGTCGATAAATATGTTCAGACGATCTCTATACCTCCTGCAAATGGCATACACAGAGAAAATATTTCAGCACGTTGGCTTAGCAACACATTTTTTTGCTCATCAAGTTCCAAATGTACAGTTACTGCAGAGAAGTTGAACTAAATTGGTACTTTCATACATAAACGCTGCGTCTGCTATAAAACTTCTTGAAGAGGAGCCGAGCTGTCAGAGTCAACTGTCTCCTTGTCAGTTCCACTGTCTCATAAAATGTTCTGCTTGGGTGAATCTTTGCCAGCAAGGACAGAATATTCCCTTCTGCAAAAACAAGTGTGGGTGACCCTTATCCGGCCACAAGATTTGGTCTATTTTGACGTCAAACAGTGAAAATAATTGTGGCACAGCAGTTGAGAAATGAGATAATTACAGCAGAAAACAGTGGTGTGAGGAGAAACTCGTATTTAACAGGCTTTCAGGACAGTGTGCACTGAGGACATGAAGGCTCGTCCCTCTCTGAAGCTAATTCAAGCTCCGAAGAGCCCCGATGCAAGCAAATGTCATACAGCAGTCTCATTACGTTGTTGAAGTCGACAAATGGCTAATTAATGAACAGTTACTGTGATAATCGCTCTGAGGCATGAATGAAGGTTCAGAATGTCCTAAAGCTTTGAAGTCTTTCCCACTCGTGATGAGTTTCAGAACAGATGAGGATTTAATGACCTTTTCTTCTTGCCCGCAACATCTCACTGAGTCGCCATCGCTCATGCAACAACCCCCACTTCTTCTTTCTTCTGCACCCCGTTTGCACCTGACTGAAACCTGAAGACCATCAGAAACCCACACAGAAGCTTGAGCACTAACTGGTCACTGTGGGATCAAGCAGTCAGTGCTGCTAGTATCACAAATGGATGTTTCTAACAAGCTGTAGAGTGGACTGCGGCCCCAGATGGCACCCGTCTCATTTATTAGGCATCTCTGTTGGCCATTTTTCTGCGGAGGAAAGCCTCACAGCAAGGCTGAAGAGGACCATTAAAAGTTAGGAAAACATCCAAAATCATCAAAACCGTAAAAAAAAAATAATCCTTTGACAAGTTTGTGGTAAAGAATTTTTTAGCAATGGATAGCTGTGCATAAATTACAATCCCATGACAAATAATTAGGACATCGTTGATTAGAAAATTATTTTAATAAGCTTATTTATAAAAAATTATTGATGCAGCTATATGATGTCCCCTAAAGACCATAGAGGATTCTGTCAGGTTGCATGTTGAAGGCTAAAAAACAGATGGTTTAAAACATAGCATACAATCATACCACTTTTGTTATATCTGGAGATATTAAGACCTTTTCAAAATGTAAATGACAACATTTGAGCTCTGAACATCGTGCACTTTTTATTAGTGATTCTTTTTTTTGGGTACACTAAAAAAGATGTATGTAAAACTCTCAATGTGCCATACCCGGTGGGATATATTTTGGATTCCTGGAAGGAGTGGAAGATCATATGCCTCTCCCAGCTGTCCATTGAGGATATCGAAGGCGTGTGGATATTCGGCCTGATGATCACTGGATTTCTCCTGATTGGAGTGGGAGGATATCTGGTTTTCTGGAAATTTGGGAAGACGGGAGCGATTGGAGGGTGACCCGCACCCACGGAAAGCACCGTCCGTATGGAGACTTCACAGACTGGGACGTTACTCGAGGTGAATCGTAAGCTGGACAATGTTCTAGCTGCGATACCGGTATTAGTGCGCAAAATGGATGTTATCTCGGAGGACAAGTTTAAAAACCCAAAATTGGCTTCACTGAAGGACTGGAATGATCAGTAAAGACTGAAGGTAGAGAGGAAAATTATCTCAACCTGACCCAAACAAAGTCTTGTTACCCGAATCTGACGCCCTGGTAGCCTTGAGCGGCAACAAACCACCCAAGAAGGAATGTAGACAGATGCTGTGAAAACCCTTGAGAGTAATTTCAACATATAAATAAAAAAAGAAATATATATATATATATATATATATATATATATATATATATATATATATATATACACACACACACACACACACTCAGGAAGCCAGATGTTTGGATTACCTGATGACATGAAATATAGCTGACAGGACAAGCTCATTGTGGACGGCGATGGCCATGTATCGAGGCTCGTGAAACGCTGACGGCACCGTCCTCACGGCATAACAAAGATACACCGACCACAGCAGGAAAAGGAACTCCGCTGGAAAGGAAATCACCATCATTAACTGCACTAATCAACCATTTACTCACATCTCAACATGGATGCATTTGTTAGGTGTGCAGAGTCACACTCAGCTCCGTGAACCATTCATAACAGCTGTGGAGGATTCTCATGACAGGAAACAGGTCCCTCGGTGCACCTCCATGGTGAGGTTTCTATCCAGCTCGACAGCGGAAAACAACCTGCCTGAACTCTGCAGCTGAACCAAAAGCTTCACAAACCACCAGCAACAGTCACCAATTACTGAACTTCACTGAGCTTTTTCTGTGAGCAGCCACTGGCTTTTAAAACAAAATTTGTGAAACGTTAGCGGAGTAAATATCAGCCATTACTGTACTGAAACTAATCCTTGATTTACACCATAGAACCAAGAACAAACCAAAAAAGCTAAACCATTATTTGTATCTCAGAGAGAAGTTTGAAATTATTTATGATGCTAAATGCACATTTTCTAAATCAAGCTAGCAGCTTCTGGTTGGTCAGCAGGTTTATTTTATTCCTAATTAATATTATTGTCTTGGTAGATGGGAGGAAATGAACTGTACTGCAGTGGAATTAGAGCGCTCACTGGGAGCCAAAGCAGGTTTATTTTTCAGAATCTGGGAGATTGATTGCATCAATGTGTGTCTAAATTATGGTCTGCATTCACGCAGAGACAGAGCTGACTTGTGTAATCTATTTTTACCTCCTAATGAGCAGAATGAGACTGCATCCTCGATATACGGCCATGCAGCATGGCGGCTCTGCGTGAGTTCCATCTGTTTGCTCAGAAGTCAAAAAGTACTTTTTATCTCTCATCAACAACGCTTGAGCTGGCAGGCATAAAGCAGATAGCAGCGAAAGATGCTTCTCCCCCTCTGAGAATCTTTGCTCTCTCATCTGCTTTCCTCTGATGCCCCTTGGTTATATGAAGAGTCCCAAAAGTTGCATCAGGAAGACAATTGTTGTCAAAATGAATGGTGATCATCAAGCTTCACCAGCACACACACACACACACACAAGCACACACAACATCCTGTGCAGACAGACTCGGAGCTCACCGACTGCCATCATGTAGTCCCAGCGATCAAGGAGACACATGCTGAACTGGCTCCCTTCGGGCGTGTAGCCCACATCGATGAGAGCCAACTTCCTGTCCGGGTTCTGACAGACGGCAGATGTCCACGCCACCAGGAACCAGCAGACGATGAGCAAGATGATGGCCAGCAGGCGCAGCACTCGCCAGCTGGTCATATAGGGGATCCTCTGAGCTGTACGGGACAGGAATACCTTCAGCACCCTGTGGAGGGAGAAACTCGCTGTAAGAATCCTGCTTTGTATTTATTCTTTTGTCTCGTTACATTTTTGCAGAGTTCATGCAATTGCTTTGTCACAATCAAGCTGAAGGGGCAATTGTCTGGACCAATTTCAGGAACCAACAGAGTTCCTGAGCTTTGGTAGCTCCTTGGAAAGGCTTGGCAGAGTTGCTGAGCTGAGCTTTTGGTTAACTCACTCTGAGTGGTGATGACAACTGATCAACGTACCAATCTATCTACTACCTATCTAGATATTAGTCAATCGCAGTCATGTCCTTTGACTAAAATAGTTTTGATTTGGCTACGTTTATGTGTCTACAAAGTACGATTCATTATTTAGTTTTTCCCTTGATGATGCCTTTATCAGAGTCGTGTCACTTAACAAGCAACAAAATGCTCTTCAGAACGAATCGCCTCCTAGAACCGAGTACAAAAAGCAGCAAAAGTTCATCCATTTCAGAAACCACGTAGCCTGGCAAGCCAGACTAAATAAATGTATTATTTAGTCTGGCCACGCTCCATTGACGGCTCTCGGTTGTGGGGCAGGTTCTACCGTTGTCTTTCAAATGATCTCCGCATGCTACTGGACAATGAATGTGACATACTCTTGTTTCACTCTGTTGCATCATCTCACCCACCAGGCATACAGAGTGCCCTGATTGGCCCACAAAGCGGATAAAGCTCTGTGATTTGTTCACTAGCAGATAGAGCACTATGATTGGCCCACCATTATGGACCAATCACAGCTCTTTATGTATTTGAAACCCCTCTAGAGAGCTGTGATTGGCTAGCCAGAGTCCTGGTAGGAGCTGCTGAGGTTCCAATGGAGCATGCCTAGACCATTCTTTGCAAAGCAAGAATTTGGTCTAGTTCACTAGGCTAGAAACCACCAGAAAGCCTGAGGATTGTGAGAAAGTGCAAATTCCTAGAAGGAAAATATGAAGAAATACAAAATGACTCGGTATTTTGCATAGTACTTTACTCTAAATTGTACTGCCATCAACTTTAACATTTAGAGTTTTGTAGAGACTACACCTCTGGTCCATACAGAAGAGTTTGCAGCAGCAGAAAAAGCGTAATAAGCATTAAATTCTCCTGAAATACACGAGGAGTTGCTGCTATTCTTGGGTTCTGCCCTTCACGCAGATTGATGAAATTTCCTCTGCGCTCCCAGCTGATGAGCCCCCATGAAAAATTGATCTGTGCACTACATTAATGTCCAGTTCTGAGGCTTCGCTCATCCCCGTCTCCATCAGAGTCCTCACTTTTGACAGACTCACCTGCCAAAAAGGCCCACAGGTTAAAAAACATCACATAAACCAGATTAAACTCAGCTCAGCCCCCCGTCATTAACAGATAAGCACTGCCGGGTGAAGTCTCCTGCTGCTCAGCCTCACTGCTGACCCGTCATCATTCAGTTGTCTGAAACATGTGGAGGTCAGCTGGGGCCAAACCATTCTGTGTTTACTTAATTACTTCAACTTGGCAGGGAAACAGCTTCTAAACGTGTAAAGCAGTGAAGTCTGGTGATAAAGTAGCTGAGAGACACGGGCTTGACACTCTTGACTTTTACTTTTATAAGGAATTAAAACATAAAATTAAGTGGTTGCATTTAAAAAGCCAACGAGTGCTTCCGGTGATGCAGAGCCCAGTAGGACAGATGCTCAGTACCTGTACAGTTTAAGGGTCAGGGTCCCGTAGACGGTGGCGAAGCCCAGCAGTCGAACCCATCGCAACAAAATACAGCGGAAAACGCTCGGCTGGAAATAGAGAATCCCAACCTGGAAAAAAGAAAAGAATTCGATTTTAAAAAGCTGCAAGAAGAAACCAATGTGAGCAGCCCCGCAGTGAGGTTTTCTTTTCCATCTTTGTGAAAATGGGAGTGCTATTCTTAGGAAATCAAATTTACAGTCATGGAAAGTTGCTGCCTCAGTAGACGGCTAATGTTTGTTCTGTTCTTATCTAGGCTGGCAGGGTTTGCCGTGTGGCATTAACACTCAATATGCTCTTCCTTTACTTTTGCTTGTTTCATATTTCCCCAGCAATGATCCCTAACACTTCGCATTAACTTTTCCTTTCTCTAATTTGTCAGTGGGAATGTGTTCAACTGTTAGATTTAGCACTGGTGTGCATTTCTGGGGGGCCTATGATGCACTTGTTTCAGGAACTAGCAAAATACCACATCAGAGGGGAGCTTAACACGACAGGGCTTGGCGTCTTATTTCCTAATGTTTAAACATCTCGCCTAAGATTGGATAACAACAACGCAAATCTAACAACGACTCTGTTTGCTCTTCAGAGTTGATGTCTTATCTCGACAAGTAACACGAGCCTGGATGTGTTCTGCTGTGTGGTGGAGTCGCTAATGCTAATGATTAGCTTCTACTAGCAGAGACGTTCTCTGCTGTTTCCCGGAGGCTAAACCAACAACAGCCTTCCCCGTCGTGAGTGAAGATGGGTGAGTCCATGGATGTTAAGTGACAGTTTGATGTAGATCTGTCAGGATTTTCTAATCCTAGAGTTTCACCGTCTGTTTTCTATCAGAAGCTAATGCAGGAGATAGGTGTAGGAGACTATTTTCATGTTCAGCCTGCGTGAAACACTCAGAGTGACCGATTATAATCAGAAATAAAATGTAAAAGATGTTTTTTCAGTGCTCCACACCTTTAAAGAAAAATAAACTGCATGTAACTCTCATAGGATAAAATTTCAATTTAATATTTGTTTACTTACTGTCATGAGCTGGGGTGTGTACTCGTCTCATGTTCTCACTATTTCTGAGTGCTTGGTTTCAGAAGAGGGAGCAACAGCTGTTCCTAATCAGCTGATCAGCGGGCCGGCTTATAAGGAGGAAGGTGGACATGACTCGACGCCGGATGATTACTACTGACTGGTAGTCTCTAGCCTTCGTTTGCTCTCTAGTTTAAGATCTCTCGTGTGTTTTCTCTTGTGACCTCGCTTAATTAGAATTTTTGGATTTACTCATCTCAGGTTGGATTCTCATCAGGATTCACCCAACGCTGTTTTGGATTTTTTCCGGTTCGCCTCCTGGTTCACCATCCTCCTAAGTGCCGACCCGATCTCCTCCACATCTCGCTCCCTCTCCCGAACCACACCGGTCCGGATCCAACTCCACTATTCACCTCTACCGCTCTTCATTCATTCCCTGGACTTTACCCCGGCCCACCCCTCCCACACACTATTCCTCTTCCCAAGCTGTAAGTCCCTCCGTCAGTATTTCCCCCGCCATACTACAACTCCCATACTCACCTCTGCTACTCTTCCCTCTAGACGCTGCTTCCCGTTTCCTCACCCACTGGATTTCCAGTGCGCCTTTAGTTCATCGTTTTAATAAAAGTATTATTTTTTCGTTCAATCCGACTCTGTCGCCTGATTCTACATGTCCTGGGTTAGACTCTTGCCTCAGATCATGACACTTACTAGACTTTTATTTACTTTTTTAAAGAACATGACCTAACCGGTGCTCAAATATTACCTGAATGTGATGATTCAAGTTCCTGGCTTGTTTTCTTGCCTCTCTTCAAACACCGAACCTGGCTTATCTGTTTCTATCCATTTACCACCACCTGTGCTCCCCATGGCTTAAGCTCCCTGCAGCCACAGCTCCAGTGCCAGATCATCCGTAAGTGTGATGCAACCCACAACCTGTTCCAGTCAAGTCAGCTAATTAGGGCCTGGTCCATGTGGAGGATAACTGTGCAAATTTTTGAGACAATTCCCTGTTTTTGGCTATCTTAAGGATGAGCACGATTACCATAATGGTTATAAAGATAATCTTATCAAGATATTTCTGCCATGCAATGTGTTAAAGAGAGGCTCTGGTCTGCTTGGAAGGACATCATTCTGATCATAAAATAGGGAGCGTAAACGTTTTGGACCATCTTGGTCCGATTTTCAGGACAAACAAGTGCTGCTTGTTGAATTTGACATGTAGCCAATCAGAATGCAGGGTGACAGAAGCATGCTTCATGCTTCTCCTCCGCCATGTTTGTTTACTCTGAAGTCATTTTGGATTATGCAAGATTTCCTGTCTCACTGGAGAATGCTTGCGTGTGAAATTGGTTTGTGTGTATTGTGTGGTTTTTGCCATGTGGCCAGATAGCACACACACACACACTGGGTAAGTAATTAAAGTCAAGTTAAATCATTCAAGTCAAGTTAAGTATTCTGTGCTGAGTCAAGCCAGCTTATGCCGAGTCCAGTCATGCAGGCCGATCCATCCTGCTTTTCCTGCTCAATAAATTAACAAATATTCCTTACTTAATTCTGTGTTTTGACTCAGTTTTTGGCACTAAATCTCTTATAACATGACACTGTATCATGATTCCAGCATAGAGTCATAAAAAACTATTCCTTCATTTTTGAGAAAAAAAATCAGAAACTTCAGTCAGAATTAGTCGTGATGTTTTGTAACCATACTTGGCATTCCTCAAACAAACCACAGAAACCTGCCCTTGAGGTACAGAAGAGAGCATCCACCCATGCTTGACTCACTGAAATGCTAAAGCAAAACACGAATGGTCTTCCAATGACATAAAAAAGCCAGAACATGCATGCAAAAAAGAGAACGAGAGAAACAAACATCTGAGGCGACATAATTATCTGTCCATTGCAGACGTGCCGTGATTTCCCCTGTGGGATTGTTAATGGTAATCAGATTAGCTGAGGCATTAATACGCTCCCTCTGGCTGCGGTGAAGACGCAGGCATGTGGATATTAGCGCTCGCCGCGTTTGAGTCAGTCAAGGGATGCAGGAGAACTGAGAGAGGAACGGAAGCCCAGGTCCTCGTCTGCTAGCCAACCAAACAGAAACTTCTGACTCAATCAAACCTCCTCTCTGCTGAGTCAGCTCTTTTACGGGGAATGTAGCGAATAATGAATGCCGAGTTTCTAATCTTAGACGCAGACCAGGTGTTTCACTTTTTTATTTTACTCCATATTTACATTTAGGATCATCGCTGGGGATTAAATCTCACCTGAATAGGTGGATTAAAGTTCAATACTGTGCAGCATAAAGAGCTCGAGAACCGATAAAAAGCTAGCAGAGCAGGGGCAGAGCAACTCGGTGACGCGCATTTAGGTCCACAGGGAAAGAAAAGGTTATAGGAAGTAAAAACGCACCTGTGAGATAAAACACAGAGCCCAGGACTTCTTTTAGATACATTTACTAACTGGTAAAGTTTTAATGAATATCAGGAATAATCAGTTTCTTCTTTAAATAAAATAAAAAATAAAAAACAATCAAAACTCCACCTAAACATCTGAATAAAAACAAATACTGATGTGAACTTCATGAATACAAAATGCATTAAAGTATCACTAAAATATTTAAACTGTGGTATTAACAGGATTCACTAATACAGGCAGAGAGCCAGGATGATCCAAGGGTTTAATGCATGTATATGGATGTAAACCACCAAGGAACAGATCAGGCAGGAACAACAACAGGAAATTCAGAACAAACTGAAAAACTGTGGACTTGACCATGGATCAGGCGAGTTGATGAGTAGACACATCATAAAGCTGAATATGGGCAACTAGAACTGAGAAAAACTGAGCAAGAAACCCAAGGAAATGACTAGTGTATGATTAACAGGAACTAAATGAAAACCAGGAAAAGTAAACACGTTTACTAAAAGCCACAACCATGACACAAAAGGCAAAAATCCAAATTTCGAGTTCATGCAACCTTGTTCACATGTGGTTGCAATCAGACTCCACAGAGAACTGTCCAAGGTCCTGAAATGAGGGTTTGTGCAACTAGGCAGCTTATTTTGTTGGTTTTGTGCATTTGATCGTCCAGCTTCCTGCCCTCTCCAGTGCAGAACTGTTAAATCTGTCATATTTTGACCATTCAGACTGAGGTTACTTACATATGTTATTGAGGAACACATCTAGAAGAAGCCTCACTTTGTGCTTTTAAATTCTAAAAAAAAACACCAGATGTGGGTCTCATATGGGCAAAACAAAAAAGATTAAATAATGACAACAAAAAAGCACAAAACAACTAGAATGTGACACAAAAGGACCACATGCAACACAAGTAATACAAAATAAATTCATAAGTGATTGTTATCAAGCTAAGAAACCACAATGAAAAATGATAAATCATCATAAAGACACTCAGACTGGATAAAAATGATATACCACAAAAGTAAGCAATAATGTATGCCAGAGAAAAATGATCTTGATATGGAAAAGAAAGGCTATGAAATGACCTGAAACCCAAAGAAAGAACAGCGTTTGTAAAAGAAGAAAATATAAAATAGTACAAAATCTGATCTGGTGTCTCTTTGTGTTTGCTGGTCGCTGATGGGACACATTAGGGTCACATGACACATCCTCACCCAGAGGTTTGTTCTATACACCCTAAATGTCATCATGCTTATGTCAGCTCAAGGTTAAAGACCGGAAACCTCTCTTAAAACACACAAGTAGACACACACTTAGGTTTTAGCCATGTGATTTAGTTAGGAAGTTGTGTAAACACCCTGTGTGCTTTGCACAAAATAAAACTTTCCCTAAATGATTGATTTTAATCATTCATTCTTTCTTATTTCATCAAATATAAGAAGGTGTGTTAATCGTTTGTTCAAACCTTTAATGTAAGAGAAGGATTCGTCATCCTTGATCATCACCAATCCTCTGACACCTCTCAAAGCTGCTCAGAAATTCATTACACAATCAGTTCTGGTTCCTCACTTTTCCAGGTTTCCAGGAAGCATCCAGCCCTGATCCACAGACAGGTTTCCCTTAACGT